CCGACTGCCGTGGAGGACCCTGGTGAGTCAGGGTCGACTCCATGGCAGTAAGTCTGGTTTGGCTTTGGGTTTTCTTTGTTACAATGCTTTCACTACTATTTGGTCTCCTTTGAAACACAACTCAGTCAGCCTTATCTTTTTTTTTTTTTAAGCCTTTTGATTGCCAGGCACAGCACAGCAATCTAGAGGCAGTCTAATCAAAGGAAGCATTCATCTCCCAGGCACACACCAGGCCCATGCCTCCATCACCCTAGGACACTGAGGACAATCTCCTCTCCTGCTGCGGAGCCAGTTTACCTGCTGCCAGGGAACCCCATCCCTACCACCTAAGGTCAAAGCCACTGGCATGCTTCATGCCAAGCAAGAGAATGCCTTTATCTTTGTTGGACACCATGGTGTTCAATTTAAACGATTGTTCCCATCTTTCAGTGGGACAAATGGTGACCACTAGACTTGATGGCACCTAACAAAACCAACAAGACATCTGATGGGCCCTTTTGCCCCTCTCATTCCCTGTGGTTAATAGACCCCATATGCTACACCAGGCTCACCAGCCTGCTCTCTGCTAACTGCACATTCTTGGACAGAGGGAGGGGCCGGTGTCCATCTTGGGGCTTTTGACATTCCCCCTGTCCTGCCCAACTTGACATAGGGGTCAGACCAGGGGGTCATTTTTTGTGTTTTTTTGATTCCCAGGGCAGCTGGTTTATCTGGGCCAGTTCTCTCCTAAGACACTCTCTCCCACCAGTCCCTTCATCTTGTTCCTTTGAGTCCCTACCTCACACCAGTTCTACAAGTCAAATCTGAGTCCTCAAAAACCACCCAAAAACACAACAACCCAGTGCCATCGAGTCAATTCCATCTCACAGTGACCCTGCAGGATACAGTAGAACTGCTCCCCTGGGTTCTGAGAGTGTAAGTCTTTATGGGAGCAGATAGCCTCATCTTTCTTCTGCAGAGCAGCTGGGGGATTTGAACCACACACCTTGAGGTTAGCAGTCCAACACTTACGGAACAGCACTAGATGTGATGGATGCAGTGTAGCAAGCAGAAGAGAAGAGCAGATGGCTCATTTGAGCAAGTCGAAGAGGTTATTATTTCCTCCAGTGGCTGACCACAACTCATAGCGCCTGGCTGCTGTCTCAGCACCTAGGCCACGTTTGTGCTACTTACCGCGTGCCTGTCATCAGGTGTGCTGCACTGAACTCTGTGTTTCAGGACGGCCGAGGCTGTGATGTTCCCATTCGCCACAGTAAGCCCAGGGCCTAGCACGTGGTAGGCACTCAATGTATTTAGCCAACAAGAAGTTCATTGGGCATGCTACTTTTGTTCTAAGTACAATCAAGATGGCTGGGTCTATAAAGTCAACATAAAATTTTGATCTGTTGACTCTTTAATGGTGTCTTCATAGATTGGGCAGATTAATCCTATAAAGCAAGGTAACAGACTTTGATGTAATGTTATGTAAATCCGGCAAGAAATTTCACCATAGGGGGCTTAAGCTGTATTTCTCCCCACCCAAAGAGGAGGTGTGTTAGTCCAGGTAGACTAGAGAAACAAATTCATAGACACTTATATATGTATAAGAAAGAATTTGATACACAAGAGCGATTGAATATTGAGAAAACATCCCAGCCCAGTCCAGATCAAGTTCACAAGTCTGATATTAGCCCATGTGTCTGATACCAATCTATAAAGTCCTCTTCAGACTCATGAATCACATGCAATGATGCCAAATGCAGGACAATCACAGGCCAGTCGGTGGAAAGACTTGTGAATCCAGTGGCAGTGTAAGCATCTCAGTACTGGCGTGGGTCTCCACGTGGCTTCTCCAGCTCCGAGGCCCTGGCTGCCTCAGCCTGTCTACCTGTGGCTTGTCTGCAAGAATGTCTCACAGGGACTGAGTCTTGTCAGTAGAGTCTCCAAGGGAGTGCGCATGTGTTCTGCCTCCAGCAAGCTATTTATCTCCTTAGCGCCTCCAAATGAGGTCATCAAGCTATGACCTGATTGACAGGCTAGACTCCACCCCTTCACTCTCAAGCCTCTCACATTGATAACAGATTATGTAACTACCACAGGAGGCTTCTATATTAAGTCCACACCCATACAGGAAGGACAGTCAGTATGTGTGTGGGTCACTAGCTGGGCTTCTGGGCTCTGTCTGTGTCCCTCAGGGTCCCTGGAGATGTGAATCTTCACAGCCTGCAGGTCCATGGGCTGAATACAGGACGTTGCTGCCCCAGGCCATACACAGGCCACCATGGTCTTTTGAGGGAGAACCATGGATGTCCTGCACTTGGCCCCCCTGGTCCCATGCCCAGCCATCATTCCCTGCCAGGGTGGCAGGGCTGAGGTTAGCTTTAGGGAGTAGCTTTCACATCCCGCTGGCTCCTCGATCTCATCCCCAGCATCCCTGCCCTCAAGGTAACTTGACATCAGGGGGCTTGTGGCACTTTTCTGCTGTGGCCCTGATATGGGCCTGTGTCCTCAACTTTCAGGGGAGGAAGGGAGCAGGTTGAGGTGTGGGTCCTTCCTTCCCTCTTAGAGGCCCTGGTGCCCTTCAGTGGTCAGTGACCTCAGGAAATGAAGCCAAGTCTGGCTCAACAAGGTTGCTTGATACCCAACCTTTTGTGTAACCGATGGGGCCACTCAAGGGACCTTTTCTAGGGCAGTGGCACCGGCTTCTCTGGATTCTGCTTCCTCCAGAACTGGTCCCTGTGGTAGAAGTATTTGGTCCTCACACTGCATTCTTACACTGCCACTGGATTCACACTCCCCTTCAGCCCTCTATTGGTGGTAGGGTTATTTAGTTACCACTGGAAAATAGGAAGGGGCTATTGTCTTAGTTACCTAGTGTTGTGGTGACAAAGCAGATCACAAAGTGGGGGACCTTCGGCAGACATTTTTTGACCTCAAGGTTTTGCAAGTTGGAATTCCCAAGGCTCCTTGGCTTTCCATGGCTTGTAGAAGGTTCTTCACATGGTGTTTGTGTTACTCTAGGTCAGGGGTCCTCAGACTATGGCCCACCGAGCATATTTATCCAGGCCGCCACGTGCTTTTGCCCCGTTTTGTTTTTTACTTCAAAATAAGATATGTGCAGTGTGCATAGGAATTTATTTATAGTTTTTTTAAAACTATAGTCCAGCCCTCCAACGGGTCTGAGGGACAGTGAACTGTTTAAAAAGTTTGAGGACCCCTGCTCCAGGTTGACTAGAGAAACAAATTCATTGACATTCATATGTGTGTAAGAGAGAACTTTATATCAAAGAGCAATTGTACATTAAGAAGATATCCCAGTCCAGTTCAATTCCATAAGTCTGATATTAGCCCATATGTCCACTACCAGTCTATATATTCAGACTCACGCAACACGTGCAATGATGCTGAGTGCAGGAAGATCAGGGACCAGTGGGTGGAAAGTCCTGTGGATCCAGTGATGGTGGAAGCATCTCAGCACTGGCACGGGTCGCCAAGTGGCTTTACCAGCTCCAGGGCCCTAGCTCCATCAGCATAGCTCCGTGTGGCTTGTCAACAGGAATGTGTAGCAGAGAGTGAGAGTGTGTCCCACCTCCAGGGAGGAAGAAAGGAAAATGCCCAGAATCTGCATGAGAGGCCACGCCCACACAGAGGCCTCATTGCCTGTGACCTGATTGGCAGGCTAGACTTCACCCCTATAACCTATTTAACAAGTTAACATGAAATTATATAACTACCACACTTCACCCCTATAGCCTATTTAACAAGTTGACATGAAATTATGTAACTACCACAGTGCTCTCTTCCCTTTGTGCATGACCAAGGCTTCTCTGCTCTTTTATAAGACACTGAGCTGGAGGGTTTGGGTTCAGGATATACCCATGAATATCCTGCTTGTCACCTCATCAATACCAAAAAAAAAAAATCCCTATTGTCAAACAAGCCTGTATTTGCAGGTACAGGGACCACAACTTCAAGATATGCCGTACAGGGTGGACATAGAGTTAAAACCACAAAAGCTGTGATAACGGTGCCTTTCCTTCTCCACCTGCAGCACCGAGCACTCCACGAGCTACTACGAGTTCGTTGGCGTGAGCGGCTGCCAGGACGTGGTCCACCTCTACCGGCTGCTGTGGACGTCGACGGTGCTGAACATCATCGGCCTGTTCCTGGGCATCGTCACGGCTGCGGTCCTGGGGGCCTTCAAGGACATGGTGAGTTGCAGGGTGCTCTCTCTGCTTTGTGGGGAATGGTGGCACTGTCATTTCTAGCACACTTGACAATGGACATGGGACTCAGAGGTCCATTTGCTCTGTGAGTTGGGCAAGGTAGGGCAGGTCTTCGCACCCTCGAGTTACAGGGAGGAGACTGGGGCCGTGGATCCCGCCGGGCATATATTAGTTTGCTGATTATTTACAAAGAGGTAGCAGGGCCTGTTTGAAGAATGTTACAACTATTAATGAATGCCATCCTGTCACCTACCTATGGCCTTGTATGCGTGTCAAGGCAGATAGTGGAGAAGGAAGACCAGAGAAGAATCGATACACGTGACCCATAGTGCTGACAGAGAATATTGAAAGAACTGCGTATGGTCAGAAGGACAAACAAACTGATCTTGGAAGAAGCACTGCCACAATGCTCCTTAGAGGCAGGGATGGTGAGACGCTGTCTCCCATACCTCGGACGTGTTATCCGGCGAGACTAGTCCCTGGAGAAGGATGTCATGCTTGATACGTAGACGTGCAGTAAGTGAGAGGAAGACCATCGAGGAGATGGATTGATACAGGGGCTCAAGCAACCCCACGATTGAGGATGGCATAGAACTGGGCGGTGTTTTGTTTCATTGTACCAAGGGTCACTGGGAGCTGTAACCGAATCAGCCACAGCTACCAACAGCCATATCCTAGAACAGCGGTTTTCAACCTGTGGGTTGTGACCCACTTGGGGCAAACAACCCTTTCACAGGGGTCGCCCGATTCATAGCAGCAGCAAAATTACAGTTATGAAGCAGCAATGAAAATAATTTTATGGCTGGGGGGGTGGCCTGGTTACCACAACAGGAAGAACTGCATTGGAGGGTCGCGGCATGAGGAAGGTTGAGAACCACTGCCCTAGAAGGTGCCGTTACTGTGAGTTTTTCCTGAATCAATCCCTGACTCAGGAAGACCCCCCGCCCCCCACACCCACCCCCCTTCGCCACTGAAGGAAATGCCTGGCTGGGAGACTGTTCCAGCTCTGAGTGTAAAATGGAATCCTATTGAGGGTGCAGGTCGAGAGAAGTGCAGATGGACGCCCCCATTGTCTCAGTGTGGTCTCCTCACAATCACTCAGCAGGGGGCCTCCTTCACGGAGACCCAGGAGGTGAGAAGGGTGGGCCAGCAGAGGTGGTTGGGGAAAGACGAGATGCAGATCCTCCCGCCCATGAGGAAACCAGCGTGCCTGAGAGGTGGAGGAGCCAGACCTCCCAGCATCCACTCCAGCAGTGCCAGCTCCGTCTTGTCAAGGCCTGGCTCCCCCCTGGGAGACTGCGTGTGTCCAGGCATCCAGCTGCTGCGGCAGTCAGGAAGGAAGCACTGGCACATTGGGTTTGAGATGCCTGCAAGACACTGCCAATTGCATCCATGCTGACTTATAAAGACCCTTTGGGACAGGGTAGCACTACCCCTGTGGATTTCCAAGATGAAAACTTTATGGGCTTAGAAAGCCCTGTCTTTCTCCTGTAAATGGGTTAGTGGCTTCAAACTGCTGACCTTGCAATCGCAAGTAGCCAGCCCAACACAGAGCCACTATAAGCAAGTAGAAATGTCTGGTCTGCACCTGGGAGTATGTGTCTAGGGGTGAGAAGAGAGGTGGTCCCTAGATGGGAGTGGGGATGCAGGGGGGTGAGGGAGGGTGGCAGAAGCCCTAAGAGGATGGGAGACCTCTGGCTGGGACAGCCAGCTGTTAACCTCAGTGACCGGCAGGGCTGGCTTGCTGGCGTTGGCTGGCGGGGCAGGGCTCCTTTCCTCCCTGGTGCTCCTGGGATGGCTGGTCAGGTCAGCAGAACCGCCTGCAAGAGGGATCGCCCAGAAAGACTGACATCTGGCCCAGCAAACGTCAGCGTAGCCTCTGTTCTGCTCGGCTCACGTCCCATTCACTATAGGCATCAATTCGACTCCTCAGTATTTCTTCGCTGTCTGTCCACCCACTCCCACCCCCAGGTCCTGAGGGTCACTGCCCCAGCGGAAGCCTTCTTTCCCCTGGCCTCCTTCCAGCAACTCCTGGCAACCTGAAGTGCTGGAGCAAGGAAGCCCACAGCTCCCACGGACAGCTTAGGGGTTTCGGGCAGAAAGGGACCAGATTGGATTTGCATTTCAGAATGTCTTCCCCAAGGGTTCAGAGGACAGTGGTTGAAGATGGAGCCCAGAAACCAGGCAGGAAAGGGGTGACCTGGACACCCATCCTAGAAGCACCACGGAGGAAATGAACCCTCCTCAGTCAGCCGCGCCGGCAAGCCAGCCCTATCCCATGCAGACTGACACACGTCCATCTTCTGTCGATCTCCCTACCATAGCCCCAAGAAACCATTAATCCAGTCACTGTCTCAATGGATGCTCCCATCCTGGACTCCATATACCAGAAAGCACACAAAAACAAAGGAACAAAAAAGTTAACAACAAAATAAAATAGAGACAACCATCAGTAGAAAAGAAAGCAGAAAATAGTTTTTAAAAACACAAAAAACTAGAGCAACTTTAAAATGGGCCCAAGGGGAGATCTCGTGATACGGTGTTCCATTTCAACCTTCCGTCTGTCCTCAGGTCCCTCTGTCCTCGTTGGCCTACGGCTCCTCCTCACCGCCCCAGATCCTGTACAATCCCGCCCAGCAGATCCTGGCCTACACAGGCTTCCGCCCATCGCCAGCCTCCGTGCCCACCTGCTCGCCCTACCCTTTGCCTCTTCAGGTACAGTGCTGAGCGCCATTGCTCGTGCGTTCATGTCGTTTGTGCTACAAGCATGGGAGGTCTGGAGCTGGAGGAAGACGGGGAGCAGTCCTATGGCCCTTCCTCCTTTAGGTTAGGTACCTGATAGATGGCGGAACCACCGGGAACTAGCAAGGGTTTGGGGAGGAGCTGAGGGAAGACATTGTGGGTGACAGCCCGCCTGTCCCAGCAAGCATGGGTTCTTCCCTGCCGGCCCCGAGTAGCGCTGCCTGGACTATTTGATGAGCAGATGGTTTTCTTAGGTGTCGTTTCCTTTGTGTGGCCCTCGTGATACACCCATGTGTGTCCCTCCAGCTTCTAGGTGTTGCACCCAGGAACTGGTCCCCATCAGACTGGGCTGTTGTTCCCTGCTCAGAATGATTGAGGACTGGACTCCAGTGTCCTGGGTAGCTGGATGCCCTGTGAGCACAACCAAGTATTTGGGATGCTTTGTGCACTATGAGTCTGCCTTCATTCAACTAGTGTTTCCCTGCAAAGATAACGCTTTCATCCCGATACACGGCTCTGGACCTGGTTGCCTTGGGAGTGCTTGTAGGACGAGAGGCACTGAGCAGGGGTGAAACTCCCGTGTGCCCGGTAGAACTTGCCTTATTGCACGTCCACTTCCATGAGCAGCTTCAGCATCTTCTTTCTATGTTAGGAAGCCTCTGCTCGTGGACAATCAAATGTCCTATCGATCGTCCTAATTGACGATTGACCAGAGGTTTACAGCTTCAGCATTATCGATCCATCGGCCTAAGTGAGTCTTTGTTGTGAGGGGCTGTCCTAGGTACTGTAGGATGTTTCGCAGCACCCCACTTCCCTGCACGTATGACAGCCAAAATGTCCCCAACATTGTCCAATGTTGCCTGGGGGAACAGAAGCAGTTGAGAACTACTGCTTTAGCCCACTCACCTGGAATTTCATTTGGGGGTGGGAGGTAAGCCTGACTTGCATATATTGTCAGATTAGCTTCCAAAACAAACAAGCAAACAAACAAACTCACTGCCATTGATCAGTTTAGACTCGCGGCCACCCTATAGGGCAGGGTAGATGTGCCCCTGTAGGTGGGTTTCCAAGACTGTAACTCTTTACGGAGTAGAAAGTCTCATCTTTCTCCCTTAGAGCTGGCTAATGGTTTTGTACTGC